CCAGAGAGAAGAACACACTCACTGAAATGAATAGCTCACAGGATGGAAGCGAGAGCGTATTAGACATGCAGAAGCATTTAACGAGCAAGAGAAATCATGACACATGAAGTGTATGGAGGGGAAAGGACTGAAGGTGAACAGACCTCGATGGCCATAGGAAAAATTCAAATAGTTTAATTGGTAATTAAAGTCCCCAAGCCAGGAGGGTGAACAATATCTGACCTCAACAAACCCCAAACAGCACAGATACAAACAGAACCAGCCCAAGACTCGTCATCATTGAAATGCTGACACCCGCAGTAAAGAGAAAGCCTTAAAGCTCTCTTCCAAGTGGTGCGACCAGAGGCACATCCTTCACCTTTCACAGGGCATCTACTTGGGGGTGGGGGGAGTATCCCTAATTTGCATACAAGCTACTCAGGTAGAGGCCTTGAGAACTGCCACTGAGCCCTCCCCAACCTCAGGGTCTGCTTCTAGACCTTTCTCCTAAATTATTTTGGCCAAACAGATTTTCAGCTTTCCCTCAGCAATTTTGTTTTCAGCTTTCTCTCAGCATATTCTCTTGAGAGTGAATCTGCTAAACTTTCCAGACCAATGGGAAAGTTCTTTGGGAAAAAGCTTCAAGCATATAAAACAGTATTTGTTATTTTAGTCACGTCCTCGTTATAGTGCAACAGAAAACGGCCCAAGTCACAGCGCAGGGCTTCCTGAGGCAGCCAGCGGGCTCCCGCTTCCAGTTCCTGCGCTGTCACGAGGCTCTCCCCAGGGGCCGGGTGCTGGCCCCCCGCAGCGGAAGGACACGCACCCGCTTGCAGGTAGGGCCTGGGGGGAGTGAGGAATGGACACAGGAGGGCCCCAGGGGCTTCCACTGTGACCTCCATGCTTTAGACAAAGCATGCCCAAATGTTAGCACGTCACTCCTCGGAGGTGTGTGGTCACTGGTCTTACTACTGTTGAACTTCTGTTTGCGTGGAAACAATCCCACAATGCAAGCAGCTCCTGATCACTCTTCCAACCCCGGAGCAGCGGCAGGAACGTGCCGGAGGCGTCGTGGCGGACAGGGAGTCGGCTTCCAGAGCGAGCTCCATCCGCCTGGCGCCCACAGACTCCGTGCTCCGCGCTGGGAGCCACACTGGTCTCTGGTGGCGTTTTTACGTTCCCAAGCGAACCATAAGGAACGCGATGCATTCAACCAAAACAGAGGGTTCTGGTCAGACCCCTCCTCACGCAGCAGTTACACGTCGCCGTGAATCCATCTCCACTACCGAGCAAACATGTTTGAAAATGGGCAATGAGGCTGCGCTGCCTTTCTGAGAAGGAAAAGGTGAATTCACCAAAGCTCTGCCAATGCCGTGGCTCTGCGAGAGCCCACACTCTCCCCTCCTCCAGCGTCACTTGCCAAAGCTATGACAGCGACCACCTTGGATTTGAAAGGGGGATGCAGTTTAGCCCCGGCTTAATCTCACCCTGCTGGGCCCGAGGTTGGCAGTGAGGGCTGGGTCACCATGTGGTGCCTCCACCCTGCCCCGCAGAGCGGCCCTGCACACGAGCGGAGAAGGTGCCGTGGGCCCGGAGCAGAGAGGAGGGTGCAGAGGGGGAGGGATGCCCTCGGAGGTCGGAGGTCGGAGGTCGTCCTGTGAGGTGTGCCTCGGGCACAGAACCCACACCTCCCCTCCCCGGCCGGGCCCCTCCCCGCCTCCCCGTGAGGATGAGCTGCGTGTGGAACCGCACAGGCACAGGCATTGCCAGCCAACAACCCAAGGCCCAGGGAGTGAGTTGTTCTGTGAGTTGCACTTACTCTCACGTGGGGGGTGATGTAGAGGAGCGGCTGACACTCAGGAGAGGGGCTGGCAGTCAGCACAGGCTCATCTGAGAGTCTGCCCCGGCCGGGGACAGCACGCTAGGGGCGGAGACGCTGTGCGCCTGAGGGGCCCTGGGAGACCAGGGTGGGGGATGGCGTTGAGGCAGCTCGCGGGTGGAGAGCGGTGCCAGGTCTAGGAGGTCACAGGAAGGTCACGGACACGGTCATGGACCCAGGCCCACCCCCACGGGAAACTCTGGGACCCGCCTGGAGGGGAAGCCGAGCGCGAGTGTGGACAAACTAAGCTGGAGTACTGATGAGGCAGCCACCGTGGAGGCATCGCGTGGGCGTGTCACAGACCCGAGGCCAGAGCGGTTCCTTCGAGGACTTCCCCACGCTCACGGCCTGATGTGTGCCTGTGGATGTGGGCATCGGGCACCCCAAGTTCTCCACTGCAGAAGTCAGACCCAGACATGGCAGAAAACACCCCACCTCTGAGGATACATGAGTGGGGGGGGGGGGGTCCTGGCAAAGCTGCTTAGTACAGAGTGAAAAATGGAAGAAAGAAAATAAGAACCAACTTTGTTCCAAGAAAGCTGCGAGGTCCGAGCCGGGGAGCAGGGGCGGGCTCTGTCCCGTCAGCATGGAGGGTCTCACCCACTTCTTCCCCACCAGGCCGCCCCTCACCTGCCGCCGAGGGCTCGGGCTCCTGTGCCCACGCCTGAGTGGTTTCCCACGCGGCAGGTCAGGCCTCTCTCTAGTGCAGAAACGCTCTTCCCTTCCGCGAGGCGGGACCTGCCTCCCTGGCCCCCAGCCCGGCCTGGCTCACCCCCAGAGACTGACCTCCCGCCGTCCCAGCGCGTGGCCCGGGGAGCTGGCGTTGGGAGCCCCTCTCCCTCTGAGGAGGGGAACCCTGCAGCTGACAAAGACTCCAAAAGCAGCATTGTCCAACTTCCTTAAAACAAAGCCACAGAACGCCATGGCGAGCACACGGACAAAGGTGTCATTGTGAGAAGGAACAGAGTTAACTGAGTCCAAATCACCTCCCTGACAAGACTGGACACAATGTTGTGGAGGGAGTGGCGTACTCTCGGCAAAGCGAGGCTGATGGCGAGACCAGCCACCCTGCCAGCCTGGCGTTCCCAGGGCCCAGGTCACCGCACCAGCCGAGCGTCTTCCCCATAGAAACCGCTGCCGGAGCCCAGGCCCCGGGTGAGCCAGGCCGTCCTGCTCAACACGACACAAACACCCCTGCGTGGAGACACCTGAGGTTCCCCCGGCTCCTCTCAAGCTCCTTCCACCACCGCGGAGGGCGGACGGGCTGGGGCCTCCTCCTTCCCCGGAGGCGCCCAGGAAGTGGGGTCAGGACCTGCAGGGGCTCTGGGCGAGGGGTGGGGGCCGAGGGCGCACAGCGGCTCTGGCTCAGCAGCCACTTCCCTCTGTCTCCACGGCCCTGAGCCATGGCCCAGGGTCTGCCTCAGTGCCTGTGCCGGTGAAGACGGCAGGATGCAAGCACGTGGCCTAGAACGAGCGTGCAAATTGAATGAGAGGACTTTCCTTCTTACGTGTGATCAGTAAAGAAACCGAAGAAGGAAAAAGAATAAAAACATGACCAAGCCTTAGTGACCTGTCTCAGCTGCCTGGCGCGTTCCTGAGGGCAGAGCGTGCGCACGGAACAGCGCCTCCTCCTCACCTCCACCACGGGGCCGCTCGGGACGAGGGCCTCAGGGGCCAGCCCTCCCAGCGCACCAGGGTCTGAGGCGGGAAGGGAAGGTGGAACGGGGTGGAAAGCCCCCACGGAGGGGAACCACTGCCACCAGCCAGGACACCACTTCCTTAGGAAGGACACGGGGGCCCAGGAGCCAGGGACTTCCCACTTGGGAAGGTCAGCTTTTTAAAAAGCACACAAAGACTCAGCGTAAAGCTCCTACGGCTCTGGCATCTACTGCGGACATAAGAGAACTTCAGAGACCAACAAAGCCATATCTATGACTCGACTGAACACAGTGAATAAACTTCTCAATGATACGTTTCCTGCAGAAGTGAGCCTTTTACCAGAAGAGAGAGGCCGGAACGCAGTAGAGGGTGGGCATGGACACATCTCTAAAACCACACACTTTATCCTGGATTTGGTGACAGGTCCGACTGCTTTTTAAGGAAGTGATTAAATGGCCGGGCTATCACTGCACATAAAGTGGGTAACACAATTCCTTTTATAAAGAAACAAAGCCCCAAACACGAACTTCAGGCCTGTGCAGGCTCAGCTCCAGGTGGGACCTCGCCTGTGGCTGCGGGTGGACGCCCCCACCCTGCCTGGGGCTGGCCGTCAGGTCCCCTCCCGGGCAAGCAACCCGCTCCCAGGCCCAGGGGGAAGCCAGCAGCTATGGGACAACATAAAGTACCAAGAAAACAACACTTCGCTTCTCTCTAGTGTCAAGAGGCGGCCTCAGCCCGCTGCCCCCGCTCGGGCGCTAGGCTGTGGCCTGGACTCAGACGCACAGCCGGCACGCGAGTGAGAAGACAGTGCTAGCACGTCCTGATAAAGGGTAAAGGACAGAGGAATAGATTCGTTAGAATCCTGTAAAGACCACCTGTGAGCAGAGAGGCTTTTGTGAGCATCAGAAGAATCAAGGAAGCTTTGGAAGAAACTCTCCCAGGACCTTGGAGTTCAAAGCGAGCCCTGGGCGAGCAGGGAAGTAAGAGGCCTCGGCCGTCCCCTGTGGGCCAGTCCCATCCAGGACCCCACGTGCACAAGGATTACAGACAGAGCCTCTGCCCCTCTCCCCACTCTGGCCACCTAGGACCCTCTCCTGGGAAAGGGAGCGTTTGCAGCTGAGAGCGCCCCGACTTTCCAGAGCGGCTCAGCCCAGCAGAGCTCCAAGCCGCCCGGGTTCCGAGCGGGCTCTCCCACAAGCGCAGGCTCGGGCTTGTCAGCCAGGGTGTGGGCTCGCCACGCAGCTGCCTTCACGCTGAAATTCAGGTTCACTACACGTCTGCGGGGAATGGCTTCCCAAGCATGTCACGGGCACCGGGGGCGAGGGGGAGCCCCCCACTAGCCCTAACACGCCCCCCACCCCACCCCCCGGACGTGGCAAAGAAAACACCTATCTATTATGAGTGAGTTAATGGCAAATACACTTTCACAATTTGAAAACATCATTAAAAATAATAAAAATATACATCAGAAAGTGTGACTTACCGCCGTCAGACACAGTTGCAGACTGAAAGAAAAGAGAGAGAGACATGAGTTAATTAGGCCTCATGGCAAAGTCGGAAACAGCAGTCCCTCCGAGGAACCCAGCCGGGGCTGCTCCGAGGCTCGCTCCCCGCAGGTGCCCAGCAAAACCAGACACCTCAGTGAGTCAAGTGCGCTCCCACTTCCTGAGCGGACTCCGCCCAGCCGTGGGTGAGCCCGGCCACATCAGGACGGGCGGAAGTCCCCGTCATTTCATTGGAAAAGAACAAATCCCAGCACGTCGGGCCTCAGCTCAGCGAGAGCCTCAGGGAGAGCACGTCTGCATGTTCACCTGATGGGCGAGGGCTGCGGTGGGGCAGTCTCACGGGGGCAGGCAATGTGCCAACCGTCCGTGCAGTGCCGCTGGCTTTCCAGAGGCTGTTCCTGGTGCCAGCGCTGCCCTGGGCACAACACACCCCTCTCGGTGCCTGCACCCTGGTACCAGGCTACTGGTACCCCCTCCACTGCCCAGGGCAGACCCGGATGGCAGACCACCAGGCCCAGCCACGCCAGGTGTGGGAGGAGGGGCGCAGCAGGCAGGCGGGGCAGGTTTCCAAGGAGGGCGCCTGGAAGAGGGCGAGGCTGGAGGAGAGGAGGGCTGGCTCCCGGGGACAGGGCCACGTGCTGCAGCTGGGACTGGAAGGAGGCTGCGGTGGAGAGAGGCCTGGAATGAGACACTCAACAACAAACGCTGCCGTGTAGTCCCGGCCGGGCGGCAGGGGCTGAGGCTATGGGAATGCGTTCGCCGCGGGCAGCTCGGGGCTGCCTTGTGGGAAGGTCACTTCCACCTGGACGTGTGGCGGGAGGAGAACCTGGGGAGGTGGGGGGAGGGTGGGAGCTGGTGGGGCGCTTGGAGGGGAGCAGGCTCGGTGCGTCTGCCTGCTGGTCCATGCCCAATGCGATGCCCCCAAACCTCGCCACTCAGCCTGCGTGGAAGAGGGACAGGGGCCTCTCCCATGCCGGGCAGACCTTGTCGCAGCCCCTCACCTGCGGGACTTGCACCTGGAGCCCAGCCAGCCAGCTAAGTGACCCACCTTCCCCCAGGAGGGGTCTGCCACTCTTTCAAACGTCGTGAGGCCTGGGTCAGAATCTCCGAAACTGTTGCTCGGCTCCTTATCCATGACTTTCAAGGGTCAAACATGTGCGGCTGTGTGTCTGGTTTTAAACTGCCATCTTGCCAAGAGCAGCCGCAACCCGTCCTTGGCTACCAGCCTCGGCACAGGGTCTGGCTTCCATCACAGAAGCGGGCGGGTGTCCTTCCCGGCGGACAGAGGCCATGACGGCTGTCCCTCGCCCACACTCACCATCGATCGCCCAGCCACGCTACACATTAGAGAGTATCGAGGGCAAATGATTCCGAGACGAGGAGAGGGAGATCTGCGAGGCACACACACACCACAAACTGTGTGTCCACCAGGAGCATCTGAGAAATAAGTCATCCTGTGCAAGCGGCAGGAACGTGAGGATGGGGCAACTTCAGGGTACAGGTTAAACGAGTGCTTGGGCCGTGGCAGACAAGACAGAGGCACTGCAAACCCTCCACACTGGCCCCAGTGCCCTGAGACGAAGTCTGGGGGGGGGTCGCTGCAGCCAGAGACGGAGGAACGTGACGCTGAGTGGGATGCCCGAGGGGTGGGGAGAGGGGGCCACGTGGACACGGCGAGCAGGGTGGGCTCAGCATGCCCGCGGAGGGCTCAGTGGGAGGCTGCGCTCCAGCCTGTGGGGCCTGCGGTACAAAGCACGCGGATCCAATGCAAGCTCAACACACGTGCTGCTGGAAGCGCACTGTGCTTTGTTTTTTGGTGCAGCTCTAGATTTGCAGGAAAGCTGTGAAGACAGCACAGTAACAAACATGCTTTTTAATAGTGCTGCTCCCACAGAAGTAAGGCGAGACCCTGGAATGGAGAGCGGTCAGCAAATGCCACCACTGCCGGGGCAGGGCCGGGCGTCACGCAGTGCGGGCCACTCAGCGATGCCCCAGGCAGGCAGCCACACACAGGCCTTCTGGGGAGAAAGCAGCCCACACAAATATGAGCTCACAATTCAAAACCCCCTTAAGCCAAGAGAAACCCACCCTGAGAAAGAGCCAGCAGAACGGACAATAATGGAACTGAGACACTGGGAAGTCCTACCTCACACAGGGTGTCAGAGAACATGAGACTGTAGTGAAGGAAAAGCTGCTGAAGAAGAGGAAGCAGGCGGCAGATTTGAAAACCCCCATTGGATGTCTGACAAGGAAAATACAACTGTTGGCATTCAACGCTCAATAGAGAGGTTGCAGACATTAGAAGGCTGGAGAGAAGATGTGGGAACTGGAAGACAGACTCGGGAAAAACGAGGCACAGAGAGTAGGACAGGGGTGGCAGCTCGGGTGGCGAGCACACGGGAAGCCCTGAAAGTGCTCACCACCCGCGGCCGTCCCAGCAGGCGCTGCTCAAGGTGCCCACCAGGACGGTGCCGGTTCCAGAGGCCTCAGGGGCCAGCATGTCCAGGAAGGACTCAAACGCCCGAGCCACAGCCTCACCCGATCTCCTTCCCTCCAGAGTCTGGGTCGTGTGCCCAGAGTATTTCCCAAGCCCAGACTCTAAGGACAGTTCAAGGCATCCAGGGTGGCCTCTGTACTGAGGGTTCTCCCGGAGGGGCCAGCGAGGACTCAGAGGTCACGGGTCCTCTGCCCACCCCACATCTGCTTGTAACTGCGGAACCAGCTCAGACTGGTCCCGTCCGGATTCCCACGAGGCCCAGATGCACACTCACAAGGGACACAGGTGAGCCCTTCGCTGCGCCCACGTGGAACCAAAGGGCCGGGACAGGGCCGGACATGAGACTGGGGCCTTTCAGCAGCCAAGGGTCCGCTGTCCAGGAAGGCCCGGTGCTGAAGCCCCAGGCCCCGCCGAGCCCTGGATGGGGCAGGGCTGAGCTTGGCCTCCTGTGTTTGGGCTGGTCCGCTCACACACTAAAGCTTTTTTCTTTTCTCAAAAGCTGGCACCATCGTGTTGGCTGCCATGCACATCAGGCAGCGAGCTCCGTCCAGAAACCCTTGATAAATCTGAGTTCACACTGGGTTGCTCCCAACAAGTCAGTGTGAAGAGTGCCACCGGGAACCAGCCCAACCCTTTATTCGTGGTCTCCACCTCCTCTGTTCATAGGCCAACCAGACAGTAACCTGAAAGGAAAGGCCGGAGACAGAGTTAATGTCACCCGGACATAAAACCACTGTCCTCCGTCCAGGTCACATATGAGCGAGAAACAGGCCACTTAACCTGTAAATGAATAGGTGTAGTTACCATAACCCACCTCCGGCCGCTAACACGTGCGGATGCGCAGGTGCGCACCGGGACAGGGCGGAGCCCGACCCAGCTCCTGCGCGGGAAGCACCCAGGACTCGAAGCAGCGGAGGAGTGCGTGGCCGGGCTTCATTCTCCCAGGCGGCGGGTGTACAGGGGCGGAGCAGGCAGTGCCACGGGGAAGGGCTGGCCGGGGAGAGGAGGGCGGGCATGTCTTGTGGGGAGTGTGGGGTATAGCGTGCTTTCCTGGTGGCCAGTGCTTGGTGTGTGGGTGGAGGTGCAGGCAGACAGCCCACCGACCTGGGGTGTGTGGGAAAGGCAGGGGACCCAGATCATGTCATTCTGCCTTGGGACTGGCCACAGGTCCAACTCTGACCACGCTGCCCTTGGAAGCCTGGTTTGCATGCTCTGAGCACATCCTGGCTGACCGGCGGCGCAGTTCACAACGGAAGCCCCGGATCATTCCAGAACACCACAGAGGCAAGAACACCACAGAGGCAGCCTCAGCTCGGGGACTGAAGGTTAGGTGTTGCCAGGTCCTTGGCTTCTGCTAGGCCACGGGAACGTTTTTATGAAGTAAGGCCTACCATTCCTCACGTTTCCTGATCCCCGGCACAACGTGTATTAATAACTTGTTTGCATTTTCCGCACTTTCTGGGTCCCTCCCAAATCTGCGTGTTATACTCAAAAGAGAACAGCTGCAAAGGAGGCTGCCAGGGAACAGGTCCCGGTGCACCAGCACCTTCCCCTGTGACGAGAGAAACAGACCCGGAAGGAGGCTGCTTCACCAGGGCCAGGCGCCGCCTCCCGGCTGGCCTCCACACTGACGGATACACAGGTGTGAATGGGACTCAAAGCGTCTGGGGCGGTGACTTAGGCTCAGACCGCCCTGCGTGCCCCCCAGGCTGCTCCTGCCGCCCCCAGGCTGTCCCAGCTGCAGAGCCTGGTGCAGGGGCCGTGGGTGCGGGCCTGGGAATGCGGCCGAGATGGCCCCACAGCTCCCCTGCTCAGCCCCGCCCCGGCTCATGTGCTGGGGCTGGAGATGAACCCAGAACCCCGCCTCAGGGGCAGCCTGGACAGAGGGGGCTGAGGCAGTGTCCCCAAGCTGTCACAGGAGGGACAGGTGTGGAGGACTCAGGGCTGGCCTGTGAGAAGGGCAGGGCTCTGAGGGGCGAGCAGATGTAGAGTGAGGAGTCCAAGTCTGAGGTGGGCACTTCGCCACCAGGCCTCCTGCGCATCCAGGGAGATGGAGGGACATGGACATGCTGTGGGTCTGGGGTGGGGGTCAGTCTCTAAGTGACAGCACAGAGGACCTGGGTCAGGAGGGAAGCGCGAGGCCGGGAAGGCCCAAGGACAGCCACACAGACGCTGGGAGAGGCAGCTGCTCTCAAGAGGGACAGCCCCTGCTCAGTCGCCAGGGCGGGGAGAGGGTGCAGCGGAACATGCTCGCATGCTGCCCGCAGGCCCGGGCGGAGGAGACGGCAGGAAGGAAGGCTGCATGCACGGGGCCTGCTTCTGCGTGAAAAGGGGAAGCTGCGGGACAGCCTGGAGCAGCGTTTCCCTCCTGCGCGCCTTCCTACCAGATAACAGTGAGCAAAGCTGACCCCGAGGGGGACAAACACCGCCCCAACAGGCGGCGGCCCCTCCTCCATCGGCCTTAGGTGCCCAGAGGTGTGGGCCGAGGAGGTGCGCGAAGGGC